GCACAAAACAAGCATTGCCTCAGACGCCACCTACCGAAACAGCATGCATAGCAAACCAGAAGGAACTCTTCCACACATCAACCAATATCCCAATACAATACCAAAAATATGTTTGGCCTCTGGGGACGAGCCCTTTCAGGACGTTCTTACCGCACCGGTCCTTCCATCCAACGCCACGTCCCCCCGCTGCAATCCACTCACCAATGCCCATGCCCTCACAACGCCCTGCACAGGCGACCCAGCAATCACGCACAGACTGCTCAATTCAAACCATGCCACACGAACAAGACGCACCATAGACGCTCAAACACGAACCCTAGCCCCGCCGCACACTCACTATTACCCAAACTATCGACACCTGGCTTATGTCTACTGACCACATGCCACGCTAACGACCGTTTACGATGCCATCTCCGCTTCCACCTTGGTAACAAACAACAAACCTACGCCGTGCATATGCTTCCCCCCATTCCCTCTGCCGGCCAACATATCTGCACCCCGACCTCTACCCTCAACCTTCCTACAAAACAAGCATTGCCTCAGACGCCACCTACCCAAGCAGCATGTATAGGAACGCAGACGTAACACTTTCACGCATGAACCGATATCCTACCACAATACTCATAGGATATTCGATATCTGCAGACTGGCGCTTTGGGAACGTTCTCACCGCACCGCTCCTTCCATCCAACGCCACATCCACCCGCTGCAATCCACTCACCAATGCATATGCCCTCTCAACGGCCTCCACAGGCGACCCAGCAATCACGCACCGACTGTTCAATTCAAACCATGCCACACGAACAAGACACTCCATAAACGCGTAAACACAAACCCAAGCCCCGCCGCACACTCACTATTACCCAAACTGTCGACACCTGGCTTATGTCTACTGATCACAGGCCACGCTAACTACCGTTTACGATGACATCTCCGCTTCCACTCAGCTAACAAACAACAAACCTACGCTGCGCATATACCTCCCCCCCATTCCCGCTGCCGGCCAGCATATCTGCACCCTGACTTCTACCCTCAACCTCCCCACAAAAGCAAGCATTGCCTCAGACGCCACCTTGCGAACCAGCCTGCAGGGGAAGCAAGGGAGAACGGCTCCACGCATCAAACCATAACTCAGGGCAATGCCCAACCAATGTTTGTCGTCTGCCGCGATGCAGTATTAGATACCGAGTTGGGCGAGTCCACGATACTGTTAAAGAGAATTGCGCCCCACGCCATACACAACACGCCATTGCGAATGTGGTGTGAGCACCAACGCATCACTCCACAGTGTTTGGTTTAGACTCTCAGCGCCTCTCATCCAGCCGACGCGCTGACCAACGAACTCAAGCACCACATCACAGAGGCATGTCACCATGTATGAAGCACAGCAGATGCCATCTTCCGCCTATTCCTCCAGCTAGCCACCCCGAGGGTGCCCAATGCCCTGTAACGCCCTCAGGAGCGCCCAACGCCACGTGCGAGGTTTTGCACACTAGGAGCGAAGCACAACGATCACCTCAAGCAGTGGCCCACCGCAAGATTCCCTTCTCTTATTTTTAGGGGCTTGCAACCCTTGAACCGTCATGCGCACTGCCAGCCACTGCATTCACAAAGGCTCTCCACACGTGCACTGCGCCCCTTTCGCTGAGCCTCTGTTCACTGATGGAAAACCTGTTTTTTTTCCTCACAGATACGCCGGCACCCTGCAAAGGAGCAGGTCCGCCCTGGCCAGCTTCGCGTGGGCTTTGGACGCAACGCACTTGTTGTGCCGTGTTGCCAGCAGTCCGATCAAAGCAACTAAATTCCCCACTTCGCCTCACGCTCAAATCTCGCAAGCTCGACGCATTTCTTCCTCTTGCAAGCTACCAACGCAACCGTGGGAGACAAACCTTCATTTCAGCTCCCTCAATCCGCTGACGTTAGATACCACTGCTGAGCCGGATCTCCACAACAGCACGCAGAACGAATGCTTGTCAGCGTGCCTGGTGGGTTGTTCTTTCCCAATAATGTGTCTCTGACTACTTCGTCCCCCAGTGGTTTGGTAAAAGACTTACCAACTGTTCGGCGAGCTCAGAAGCATCATGCACCTCATGTAAAACTCCCCGTAGCCCCAAACGTTCTACTAGCATCCACGTAGATAGTTCCGCCCCAAAGCTTACACCTGGACTAGCTGTAACCTTTGCAAAAGCGCACCTCCAGGATCTCGCCTATGGCAGACGACGCTGGCAAACGTGGGAGCCTACTGCCTTCCACCTACGCAGACGCGTGCCTTCAGATTTGCGCAAACGTCCCCTCGTCTCCTCTTGATAGATACAGACGCCAACAGCAATGGTGTCCAGCTTCAATTCAAGGCACGTGCGTGCCTTGCGCCGAAAGGCAAAATGCAAGGCCATGCCATCATCCCGTGCGTGAACAGGCGTCGT